GGGACATCGAGCACCCACCTCCATCACTTTATTGTGGGGAGACTGCTGCGAGGAGATCTCTGTCCCCTCAAAACGTGACAGGGCCACATCACACCCCACCTCCCCCTCAGGGCACAGTAGGGTGTGGCAAAAAAAATCCCAAAACTTCGAGGATTTCCCCCTTTTCTTCCATCGCACAGAGAAGAAAATGCCGGGGGTTCAGCATCCCCATTCTGACATTTCAGGGTTCCCTGTGGCTCCAGAGCAGCACTGGACCAGGACAGCAGCACCCAGTTGTCCCCATGTCCCACGCTGAGGGTCCCCTGGGTGCAGAGACCCCGGTGCTGAGGGTCCCCTGAGTGCAGAGACCCCGGTGCTGCCGGGCTCAGCTCACAGCCCCCGGTTCCAGGCTCCCGTTGGCAGCCGCTCCCCGGGCCGGGGTGGACGAGGCGGGTTCCTCCTGCTGTTTGTCATCCCGGGCTCCGGTCGGGTACGGGAGGTGACTCTGCTGGGGACAGGACAGGGACGGTGAGGTGGCCGTGGTGGGTGGGACACTGGGACAATGTYGCTCCCACACGAATTGGACGTTCCACGGGATGGGAGCGCCAACAGACCGGGAGACGTTTCCTTTGGGCTCCTGTTTGAAACCAACGGCCACGGCAAACCGGGGGTCTTCAGTCAGAGCCCCCACCCCAAAACTCGGCTCTCACCCCCCCAGGAGGCAGCACAGTGGGGTGGGTGACATCACCCAAGATGATGGGGACACCCCCAGGTTCCCAGCGGGGATTTTAGTTATTCCAAATTTCAGTTRTTCCAGKGAAAAATAWGRCTCCAGGGAAGAAAGCAGAACAACYYCTGGCCTGGGAAACAACTCCCCTAAAACCTCCAGCTGGGATTAAGAGGTTCCAGACATCTCCAGTGTCCCAGACATCCCCACACAGGACAAGGGTGGCACTGAGCCACCCACAGCGGCTGYCACCCCCACCCTGGCACTCCTAATRTCATCCAGACCATGGGCACGCCCAAATTCTGGTSCTGCTGAGTGGGAGGAGTGGGARAAGAGCCCCCCAGTCCTGGTGGGAKKAAATTGGGAGGAGTTTCCTGCTGGGAAAACCCATCCCAGACAGCCGTACCTGCGCAGGGAGCTCGGGCGGAGGGATGAGCGGGGCGGAGGAGCTGCCCCTGTCCGTCTCCTCCAGGGCCAGGATGTCGATGGGAGCCTCGGCCATGTCCCGCAGGGACGGATCGAGGCTCACGGAGGGGTCAAAGAGCAAAGGGGATGGGGGGCACTGCATCCCATCGCCCACCACGTCCAGGTCCTGGCAGGGAAAACAGCGGAGCAGAATCAGGAGGGGGCTGTGGAGATTCCAATGCTCTGGAGCAGCAGGGAAAGGAGGAGGAAGGCAGGGAGGAGGAGGAGGAGGAGTGGACACCATGGCAGCNAAATTGGGAGGAGTTTCCTGCTGGGAAAACCCATCCCAGGCAGTCGTACCTGCGCAGGGAGCTCGGGCGGAGGGATGAGCGGGGCGGAGGAGCTGCCCCTGTCCGTCTCCTCCAGGGCCAGGATGTCGATGGGAGCCTCGGCCATGTCCCGCAGGGACGGATCGAGGCTCACGGAGGGGTCAAAGAGCAAAGGGGATGGGGGGCACTGCATCCCATCGCCCACCACGTCCAGGTCCTGGCAGGGAAAACAGCGGAGCAGAATCAGGAGGGGGCTGTGGAGATTCCAATGCTCTGGAGCAGCAGGGAAAGGAGGAGGAAGGCAGGGAGGAGGAGGAGGAGGAGTGGACACCATGGCAGCAGGACCACCAACCAGGAACACAGCCCAGAACTCCCTTCTGCTCCTCCTCTTCCTCCTGGAATGTGGCGATCCCGGCTGGCACTGCTGGGGTCACAGGGTGTGGGACACACCGGCGTGATGGGCTGTCCCCAAAGTGTCCCTGCAGCACCTGGAATGGCTTGGACAGGGTCTAATCCCAGCCTTCTGGGGACCACCAGAGAAATCCCTGCTCTGGGATGTCACACATTCCTGGGGACCCGGATCAGTCCCTCCTCTCTCCAGGATGTCACACACATTCCTGGGGACCCCCGGATTAATCCCTGCTGTCCAGGATGTCACACACATTCCCGGGGACACCCAAATCAATCGCTGCTCTCTGAGATGTCACACACATTCCTGGGGACCCCCAGATCAATCCCTGCTCTCTGGGATGTCACACACATTCCTGGGGACGCCTGGATCAGTTCCTCCTCTCCCCTGAATGTCACACATTCTTGGGGACCCCCAGATCAATCCCCGCTGTCCCGAATGTCACACACATTCCTGGGGACCCCCAGATCAATCCCTGCTCTCTGGGATGTCACACACATTCCTGGGGACCCCCGGATTAATCCCTGCTGTCCCGAATGCCACACACATTCCTGGGGACCCTCAGATCAATCCCTGCTGTCCGGGATGTCACACACATTCCTGGGGACCCCCATATCAATCCCTGCTCTCCAGAATGTCACACACATTCCCGGGGACCCCCGGATAAACCCCTGCTCTCTGGGATGTCACACACATTCCCGGGGACCCCCGGATAAACCCCTGCTCTCTGGGATGTCACACACATTCCTGGGGACCCCCGGATCAATCCCTGCTCTCCAGGATGTCACAAACATTCCCGGGGACCCCCAGATCAATCCCTGCTCTCCAGAATGTCACACACATTCCCGGGGACCCCCAGATCAATCCCTGCTCTCCAGAATGTCACACACATTCCTGGGGACCCCCATATCAATCCCTGCTCTCTGGGATGTCACACACATTCCTGGGGACACCTGGAACACCCCCTCCTCCCCCCAAATGTCACACCTCCTCCTCTTGCCCTGACACCACAGATGGAGATGGACAAGCTCTGAGGACTCCTCCATCTGCCCTCAGAGGCTG